TAGTTCAGGACAGTAGCGACTGTATCTAGTCCTGGCAGACAGAATTATGTACTGGGACTAACATGAATTATAAATATGTAAACACATATTTAATGTGTTTATATATTAGATTTTATATAGCGTTTGTGTTTATATAGCGGTGCTTTAATAATCGCTAATTGATATTTGTTTAATGAGTACTGTACTGTACATCAAATTTACTTGAGATTTCAAGGATATTGGAAGAATATAAATTAGCCCAGTTCATTATCAATTTTGTTATGTTTCATTTACATAAATTCTCTAAAAATTTTAATTGATGAAATTCATTTTCCGGAAATAAGAGACTTCTATGAAGACTTTTAACTGTTTACCTATTTAAATTGTGCAATTTTTCTCCCTGCACTTTCAATAATGGGCTTTCAAAGTGAATTGATTATTTACGTAAGTTAAATAAAACACCAGCAAATATATTGATTAGAAAGATCTTTAGAATGAACGAAAACATTCTTAATTGATTCTTATTTAGTTATATAAGACGGCCGGATGGCCGAGACGGTCACCGCAGAAAATTTTGAAGGTCCTTCTTCTGTCAACCGGTGGCTCCACTGCGGGCCTAGCGAAACTCACAATGGGTACGATAAAAATTGATGTTTTTAGTGCCCGGCAGACATAAAAACTAAAACAAACGAGTTACATATCCTCGAAAGAAATATATCAGAAACTGTTTACAGATCAATGTCTTGTTGATACAGACAAACCTTCACTTTTGCCCGGTCCTGCAATGTTTTAAATGATGTCGTATTGGACATAGTTCTTGGGATTGTTTAGAAAACAGTAATGTTTGTAGTCATTGTTCTGGAAATCATGATTTTATGGAATGCCCTAACAAGGAAGAGCAACCTACATGTGTCAATTGTCTACAGAATCATAGTGAAGAACACAGGCACAATGCCAGAAACTCTGTTTGTATAGTTTATCAAAGAGTAAAAGCCAATTTAATCAGCAGAACCGACTATGGGTCTGAGTAATAGAAGTGGTATTCATGTAATGCAGTGTTTTGTAATGTTTGTAAATTACATAATTCATAAGGAGTTACCGATTATGTATACTAATAAATATTCTATTAATGTAGTGCTTATCTGTTTGACAAACTTGGGGCAAGTACACAAAGATTACAATTTCATTACTTTTTCTCTCCTTATATAACAGTAAGTTTTATTACATTACAGAAACCTACATGTTAAATATATATAACAATTCTAATACATAAGAGAAATTTGTTTGCTAAATTACATTAACAATTTGCCAGTAAAAATAATCTATTAGCAATATGTTCTCTTTTTTTACTGCATCATCTCTAGTCACTTCTGGTCTTTAAGGAAAATTTCTGGAGGCAGCTGCATTCCAAGGTTATGCAGAATCATTATCAAACATCTAAAAAATTCGTCATTTTCTAATATACATAAATTATGTAGAATACAGGCTGTTACGATAACTTGGGAGATTTGATCAACTTGAAACATAAACAAATGATTTAGTCTTTGAAATCGCCCAAATAACTGTCCAAATGCTTGTTCGATGACTACCCTACTTGAACTTAAAATTTTATTGAAAAGTTTCTCTTTTCTTGTCAAATGTCTTTATAAGATACCATCATATTTAAAGAAAGTGAATAAGCTCCATCTCCAAGGAGATGGGCCCTTTCCAGAATCATATGAGGGTTTTTTCCAGGACTTCACACAGTGGTGGGTTACAACAAATTCTGCAATCATGAGAAGACCCTGGCTACCCAGTAAACACATCCATTAAACAATAATTTAGTGTCACACACAGCTTGGAGAATTGTGGATGTATATTGTTTTCTATTAAAATAAGCATTTTTTGAAGCTTTTGCAGCTGATGTTGATATGAGCTCCATCTATGCAACCAATTATATCAAAGAAGGTCAAATTTCTCTTAAGAAGGTCAAATTTCTCTTAAGGTCTCAAAGTTCCTTAGGGTACTTGTAGCTGTTTTGTCTTAAGGTCTAAAATTATTTTGTTTGGCCTAAACAAGGAGACAGTTTTAATAAAATATACAAATTCTCTACAGGCATAACCTTCGCTTAGTCCAAATCTATCTGCAACGCCACAAAACGACTCCTGGTTTCCTAGTAACCATAGTGACATCAACACAACTGTTTGTAGTGATGTATCTTTGAGTCCAGTTCAACCAGAGCCAGTCCTTTCTTCAGGAAACTGTTCCATTAACCTCTAAAATAAAATATTATATTATAGTATAACAATTATTTATTTTTAAATATTAATAAAAAGCTAAAAATGCCAAATAAAGCAATTTTTCTATAGATAGTTACTACAGCTAACAATTCTTAGCAGAGACTTACTTTGACAGTGCTTGTAGAAAGATGAAAATGAGACCTAAAGTCCATATCGCTGTATCTGGAAACGACATTTTTGACATAGCCTTCTATTTTGGCTTTCTTCGATTTTTCAACTGAAGCAGCATACAGAAATGGAATATCTTCGTTATCTGTTTTTGATTTAAAAAACATCTCATAACCCCCTCTACTCTCAGAAATACTATTTAACAAAACAGTCAAAATCAGCACCTTCTCGTTACTTAAGTCAGCCATCTTGAAAACTGACTCTCAATGAAAGCATTTCTTTTTCTACAAAACATGACATCAGATTGTTCAATGGAGGGACTCAATGGAAAATTCAGTGTTGAATCAACCGTTAAATATAGAAACATATGGATAGATGGCATTATAGGTAACAGATGTCAAGCAGTGTTTGTGCAAATTCTGAGGTTTCATTGCTCAATGAGGTGGTTTAGTTTGAAGTTAGTAACATGGGAATAACGGCACTTTCCACTATTGTTAACAATTTTTATAAACTTTCAAAATTAATGCTTCTAAAATGCATCCAAAACATAATAGTAAATCTAGCAGTGGAGATAAATGCAAGTATTGCTCTATTACCATGGAAACTAAACTGGACATTTTAAAAGTAAGTACATTAGGTGAAAAAAAACTATGTTTGAAACAACAACTACTAAGCAGTAGCAAGCAGGTAAACAAGCATAATGTATTTTATTAATTACATTGAAGGATCAAACACTAACAATAAATGGTTATTCTGTGTACAAATGTATTTTCAAGCAGGGCTGCAGAGTTGGTAAAAATCACTTGACTCCAACTCCTGATAATTTTAGTAGGCTGACTCTGACTCCCGCAAAATTAAATACCAAGTCATTTTATGGGGGCAGAGGTGCTCATAGAGGTACCCTACTCTGAACTCTAAAAGGAGCCCAGGGCATTTACTCAAATATTTTTATAATTAGTATTTTTAATATTTAACTTACATTAATATTTATTTGTATTAGAAAATTAATTTTTAACAAATATTTAATAAGAAGAGAAAGGGGGGCAATAAAATTCTGCATCTATATATCTTTATTCTATAGCATTTGCACTTCAATTTCACCCTTCCAGAAAAGTTTGTCCAACTAAAAAATGTGTTATCTAGCTACTTCAGGCCCTTGTCCAGAAAAGAAAAACATATATTCTGATCAATTAGTCTGGCTCATTCAGAAAAATAAGAGTACTTAGTTAAAATAAATGAATTCTAACAAATTCCCTGATCTAAATAATTTACAACAAAATACAAAAACATTTTAAAAAATTAATAAAAAAATAAATTTTCTTTCATTTAAATAAAAAGACCAAATTAAATTTAAAATGCCAGAGTCAGATTTTCCCCAACTCTCCTGACTCCAACTCCACAGCCCTGCTTTCCAGGTTAGTTTTTGACTTGCAAACATTTTGACTTATGACAAAACCTTTGGAATGTAACCTGTTCATAAGAGGAGTACCTGTAGAAGAAATCTACATTTTATAGTTTATTGACTAAATATAAATTTCAGCTTATGAAACTTTGAACTCAAACTTGCATTGCATTGTAACAGAGTTGAGCTATACATATATACTGCAGTTCATTTAAAATCTCTGAATAGTTTTTTATAGTCTACAAGGCTATTTTGGATTATTCAGATTTTCTATTCACACCTGTGTACTAATTAGCAAGATAATTAGGAGTTTGGTGAAGTTATATCTGCATACTGATTCAAGAATTTCAGCAATTACATGAATAACTTTTGTGTAATACAGGATGACCACTAAATTTTCCAGCATGTAATAGCCCACCATCTCATCCAACAGAATTATGAGAATACTAAAAATTCTGACCACCAATAGTTTAGTTCAATGAATAAACCATTACATAGCATTCTGTGTAGCACATGTTCAATTAGATTGTATTCAAAGCAATTTATGGTTCCTCTATTTGTATGACTTCTAGCTCATTTTCTTTAGAAGCCATAGCTACATTAAATGTAAGAAATATTCAAGTGTCGTGATATCATGCATAATATGTCCATAATGTTTTAGAATCATGGACAACATAATTAGTGATCAAGGATATACTGTCAAAAATTATTAGATGAGCTAAACTCTAGAAATCTGGCAAGGCTTTGGAATCCAGTATACTGAGTCAACCTGTTTATCAAATAAAGATTAAAATGCTTCTTATAGAATATATATAAACAAATTAATCACAAACTGTTTAATATCTTAACTCATTATGAAAAACACAAGTTTGATTTCTGACAATGCAATACTGGAAAAAAAATTTTAGAGAAATTGCAGAAATATAAATTAATTTTTATATTAAAAAAATTAATTTATATTTTTTCATTTGAAAGAATTGTGAATCTAAACAAAATAAATACTGTAGTCATTTTAACAGCTTTTCATTATATTAAATTTCCGTGAATTAAAAAATATTTTTATCCGATAAAACAACTCTAGAAAAAAAATTATTATTTCAATTAGTGTTTTACATTTGTAAAAATATGTATAATGAAAATTACCATAAATTAAATCATACTATTCTTTACAAGCTTTTTTTTGCATTAAAATAAAACATTTAATATATTCAAATGAAAATTAAAGAGATTACCTGGATCATCTTTTGTATGTTCTTCTGTATCTACTTCAGAACAAGCCACACAATAATTTGCACCTTGTTTATTTTGCAATAAAATTGTCTAAATTAAATAAATACATTTATTATTAAAGTTTTTAAAATTATAATTTTTGTAATATTTAAATTTCAGAGCATTTTAAATTAGAAAAAAAATTAAAAACAAAATTCTTATATAACATTTATTTGTAAAAACTGTCTTCAAAGAAAAGTAATCATTTTATTTTTAAATTATATTTGCAAATAAAAAAATACATTAAAAGTTATTTTACTTAGATTTATAAATAGAATTACTGTATATGCATTGTATTTAGTGATCAATATTATTCTCATTTTCAAATTAATCTTTTAAAAGTTCAAGTAAAATGTAATGTAAATGATTTTAGTTTTATCCTAAATGCAATCAATAATATTAAAAAAATGAGAAGAACGTTGTTAATTTATCCTACATAGTAAACTAATTGATATTCCAAAAACACTGTAAATAAACAATTTTATTTAAGAATATATGTGATAAAATAAAATTGCTCTGAAATCTTTAGACACAGACCTAATACATAATTATGATTCTCTTGCATTATATTTAAACTTACACTTTAAATGAGTTATATTATTTATTTAAAGTATACATTTAAATATTCATCAGCAGATTTTCATCAATATGGATTAATAAAACATCAAAGCACTACCAAAAGATAAAGTGGAACAAATTTATATTGTAAAAATCCAGAAAGTTTACCATAAATCATCCTACAGAATATATAATTTTTTCAATATTTTTAGTTTTCTTATTCAAAATAGTTGAGTTTAAACAATTCACATCAATCATACTGCTTAGGAAATTCAAAATCTAGCACACAATAAATAAATTATTGTACTCAAGTTTCAAACACTGTTTAAAACAGAATGCTAACTCTTTTTGCATTATGTTTAAAACAAAAAAATTTGATATTCAGAAATTCAGATATTCAGAATTTCATTTCCAAATTTTCTTAATTTTTAATTGATTTTCATTTAAAAAAATTAAAAATGTTTCAGTATTAACTTTAAATTTAAACATATCAGATTTAAACAAAATGAAAACACCACTATACCAATAAAACAATCTGGGAATATTATTAATTTAATGACAGACAAATCATAGGAAACAGTGAAAAAGTACAAATAGAGGCAACATATATTGAAAATTAAAAACCAAACTCTGAGCATCAAGCAGATATGCATATTTACATATAAAAAGCAAAAAAGAAAAAGTTTCTCATAGACCTAACATACTGAATGTTCAGAATCAACTGTCACTGAATGGATAAAACCACACAATACTGGTAGTTTGTAGTGAAATTCACACCTGACCAACAGGTTGGCCAAGTGGAGTTTTTTGGATTGTCATCATATGTCTAACACATAAATAGCATCCAGTTTCCATAGAAAGACATCCTGAAATTTGACTCCCAGGATGATATCCTTGGTAGATCTTTATTTCATCAATCCAATCCACAGACCAAACCATAAAGATATCAAAATTAAATGGGAAGAGAGAAAAATAACTGCATCCTTGACAAAAATGCTGCCATTCAGAATAGCCAAAGAGATTTCTATGCCCACAGTGCAAACATAGAATCAATTAAAACTACAAAAAACTAACATTAAACTCATGAATTTGCATGCTGAGCAATATCAAATGAAAAATTCATTAAATTTAATCCATGATGCTTCTAACAAACTCAAACTTTAAGATGGTAATATTCAAATACCTATGATATTTTCACAAGAAAATGACACATATTGAAATGTTACAAATGATATTCCAATCTTTCAGTTTGAACTTGTGTTCCAATTTACATTAGAGGAATGTTATTTTTGAAAGAATTCTGAACTAGTAGTAGTGTTTGAAATATCAATCTATCAATCAATATGTAATTCTTATAATCACTTCATGTAAATTTGATGCTTAATAAGTTAGATAATTATAAGGAGCCAATAAAATAAACAACTTGCTTAAATTTAAGAAAAATATAGTTATTGTTTGAGATACTTCAGTTTAATGGCATATACAATTTACTGCCAAATTTAAAAGTGAAAATTGATAGCACTAAATTAAAGTTTAATTGTATATGTAAATTATATAAACATATAAATATATATATATATATATATAAAATGATCTTACACCACATATCTCACATAAAGTACTGAGCATTTTATATCCTTTTAGAAGATATTCTCCAGTGATAGAACTTATTTTATCTTGTCTATCTCGTCTTGCCTGAATAATTTTCATTTCTGATTCTGAAGGTGGTTCCCAGGGGCTTTCTAAATCTTCAACAACATCCATATTAATTTCTCCAACTTTTAATTCTGAAATAAAGTAAACTATATGAAGTTCAATATAAAAAAACTTTGTTACTTTTTATATGAGAGTAATTACTGAAACTGAAATTAAATTAATTAATTAATTGTAATTAACTGTAATTAAAACTGAAACTGTTTATAAAGAAATAATTTATATTTAGTTAGAGTTTAGACTAATTACCTCCATGCTATTTTACTCAAATGTATAAAATCTGATTCTTATTTGACTGATACATAATTCAAGAAGTTACTTCTCCAAATGTTTTAAATCTCATCTCTAAACTTTTTCTCAAAATTTCATTTTTATTTTGAATTATATAAATTATTTGCTACTAGAAAGAACAATTTATTGATTCAAGTATCAAATACAGATAAGCAGTTGTTTAAAACTAAAAAACGTTCAGTGAAGGAAAATCATAATATTGTTTATGATTTCATGATAATATCAGTTTACAGTTATCAATTTGTCATAAATTGAGGCTCCTGAATTAGAGAAAGTTTAATAGCACATAATAATCAATGACAAAATAAAGATAAAATTTTATTGATAGTAGTTGTCATTAAAATTAAGAGAAATCAATATTTTCATATACTGTATTAGTAGTAATTGTATTTCCACATGTAGGAATTCAAAATAACATAAATATCATGATGTCATTTTTTTAATAGTCTCTTTGCAGTTCAACACATTTATTACATCTTGGAATAAGCATATCAATACCCTCAATAAAATAGTCTGCAGTTTTGTCTGCAAAATGCTCAAATTGCCTCCTGCAACTCTTCATCACTTTTCCAAAGGACTTTTTTGAGTTTTGGAAACAGATAATAATCGCTATTGGGTGCAGGCCATTGGGTGGACGGTCAAGCTCCTCCAACCTGCAGCCTTGGCAATGGTACCGTATGTACCGGTGCATTGTCTGGCAAGAGGCAAACATAATACAAATTAATGCAACAAGTGTAACTAAAATGAATGTTTCCAAGTAATTTATGCAAATTGGTGGGAAAGTGGATTTATTAGTCCACATACTATCTGATACTATCATTATTTTCTTCTTATCATGTCTAAAATATGTTAGGTCAAATGTTTGGTACCTACCTCATACGTTAAGTAAAGACGACCGGTAAAGCCACATTAATTAAAACTTCTGCCGCACATATAAAGTGATTGTGGAAATTAATTTCGCACATTAATCAATTCCACATTAAGCAAGGGATACCTTTTATGCACTTTATCATTCTAAGAGATAAACATAAAACTTCTATCCAAGAAAATTGTGAAATTATGATCAATCTGTTATACAATTTTCTTGGGCACATGAGGAAATTTTCATGTTCACCTCAGACTTTTTTGTGCTTTATCATTCATTCTTGAAAATTTTTACTTTTTTAGAGTAAAATTTTATTTGTTAATAACTACGTTGTACAATGCAAAATTTTATTTGAGAAAGACGCCATACACGCACCCAAAATATTGATTAAAGAATTCTTATTATTTTTCTTGTTCTGATCAAGATGTCATCGAACTGACTTATTTATTTTAAACAAATTCATAACTTATTATCTCAACATGTACGCAAACTACGGAAAACTTGAAGAAAGCGAAGACTTGGAAAATAATTTTAAAAATATTAACCAATACTTAAAATAAACTTGTCGTATTTTCCGATTTATTACTTACCACAGATTCAAAATTATCAATAAAACTGAATGCTACATAAATCTATTTCCAAAAGCAAAAGACCACATTTCAAACACGCGTGGTTCTGATATTTTCCTTCGTATCAGTAGAAAACCAACACGAGATAGCGCTTTATTATAACAGAATTAAATAAGAATGATATAAATATGTTTATTTTCGTAAATAATAATAATATTTAAATTTTAAAAATTTAATTTTGTAGAGATTATTGGGACAATTAAGTTTTCATGTAGGACGTAGGACGTCTGTCGCAATTGTAGAACTATCAAGCGCTTAAAGTGTCAGCCTACCGCTTTGGGGACCCGGGATCGAATCCGGACGAGTAGAACAACCACAAGGAACAAACGACATGATCGTATACTATTCTCTTAATTAAAATTCTAGAGAATGCGCCATTTCAAGAATCACATGATAAAGTTTTTCAGTACAGTTCATATAGTAGTAGTTTTTTTTTTTTTTTTACTCTTTCTGCTTTTTGGGCACTAAGAGGGCCTTCTAACCAAGACCACCGTGGGTTCGGTTAGGCCCACAATGAAGCGACCGGGTGGTGAGAGACGGGGGCCGAATATCCGGTCGGATCACCCCCGAAAAATTCTTTGGGATTGTTCGACTCGTCCGGATCGATCCCGTGTACCCAAAGCGGTAGGCTGACACCCTAAGCGCTTGACTTCTACAATTGCGACAGACGTCCTACGTCTTACATGAAAGCTTAGTTGTCCCACTAAACAAAAACAAAACTTTTATGTACTAAAATTAGGTCATTTTTGTCCATAATCTTTCGCTTTTCGTAAATTTACAAAATGTAAATTAAATATAAGAGCTAATTGTCGCGTGCATATTTTGCATAAATCGTTTAGACACGCTTTAGAAGAATTGTCCGTAGATGTTGAAAACGTTTTAAAAATCAATTTTTATTTTAGTTTGGTCCTTAAGATGTCGCAGAAAGATAGTCCATCGTAGAGCCCTCTATAAACAGAGTATGGTCAACTGGAGGGTCAAAATATGATTGGATACTGCCGATCACGTGGTTTATGGATGCCATTATGAGGCCAGCTTCCGATCCGCTTATGACAAGCGAATGTCAATCAGCTATTTATTACGATAAATAACAGAATTGGAAACTTTATATACCAGGTCATTTCGATCTAATATAGATTCTAAACATCGAGTTAGTTCTTACTTTAC